ACCAAACTATAAACAAAGGCGGCGTTGAATGAGTGCGTCTATTCAGCCCAGCCGTTAATTGTTTTAGAAGTTAACAACGCGCTACGTAATCGTTTTTATTTAACAGCCTTTTTTTTAAACTTTACGCGAAATATGAACACGACCAACCTCCGGGTTCGATGGTTTTGAAATTTGAAATTTGATTTGAAATATATCGTTTTAAATAAAAATTTGGTTAGTTGCTAAAACTTTGGAGAATACTAAATAGCACAAAATTCGTGTACACACTTTACTAAATTTCGTAGCACGCGAACAAAAGTATATGAATTTATTGATATTAAACCTAATCGTTTATTGGTCGGAATAGGCCCATTATTCTTGATCAAAACAGTTCCTTCTATTGCTCCTAACCGAAAACCGTATTCTTTTGTTAAATAAATATTAAATATATTTGTTAAATGTTCAATTTTATTATGTGTAAAAGTGGCGTGCTTAACTGTTTGATTATCATAAAATAATTACACATTAATTTTTCAAAATTTATTGCAGTTTTTACAGAAACAAAACAAATATATCTTAAACAACAAAAATATCTTAAAAAATAATAAAAATTTGACTACGTTTAGTTCTATGGTTACAGCTTAACTTTCTTATTGATTGGGTCATAAAACACTGAAGCACAACGATAAGCTGTTGTCAAACTGTTAAACCAAAACTTCGTACAAATTTTTGATATGACAATATAAAGACACACTTCTGTTGACGTTAAGTAAATCTTTCAGCGTGGTCAATATTGTGCAAAATAACCTGCCATAATAATAAATTATAATTATCCTTTCTGACATTTAAATTTGAAGAACAAGACCTGTCAGAAGAAAATGGCATTCTCTTTTCTTTTTCCTCCAAATTAGCTGAAGAGAACATTTAGGGTATAAAATTCTACTGTTATTCAACAAAATGACAATCAGGAATAGGAATTGCGTGCCTCCGATAGAAATATGTCCACTTTCTCTTGGGTTTGTATTCTATCATGGTCAAGAATAAGGGCTCAGATCTGCTAGTGGTGTCTCTTTTTGTAACTGTGTAGATTGGACAATTAAATAAAGGAACAAACACCATCTTAAAACATTTATTATATCATGTTGGTTTTCTGAAGTCTGAAATTACAGCAAAGTTTGACTTTTAATTAATCGATAATCAATTGATTTTATATTAGATTTTGTTATTTTGTTCATTGGTGGTTATTTTTCACGTATTTCAGTCTTTTTAAGCCTAATAAACTATTCAAGCTGAGTTTTTTTAAGAACCATAGACGGCAAAATGCTGAAATAGTTAAATAGTCGGCGCAAGGAACTTGTAGCTTAGTTAATCCGACATTTTGAGTTGGACCGCAAAAGTGGGAGCTCTCAAATGTTTAAGATAATTATTTTTTTACGAACGTAGATGCATGCCAATTTAATTTTACTGATAAGATCATATAATTCGTTCTTCGCAAGAGAAAAAGATGAGGATGCTTTATTGTTAAACTTGGCAACAGTCATTTTTCTGGTTTGGTTTGGTTGGATGATTTATAGAATCAGAAAATGTGACTTAATAACCGACAACACTAGTGAAAAGAAAAGCAAAATACTCTAAGAGATTTTCTTACTTGGATAAAATGCAATGCTGAATGGTTTACAATGAAAATTGGTTTATCTGATACTGAACCCGGTCGACATTAGTTTTTGGATAGATTTTCATTCATTTTGTCTTTAATTATTAAAACAGTCTAGATGGATTGAAAAGTGCTCCTTCTGAATTAGTAAATATATAAGTACGTGTGGCTATTTAAAAAGGAATCAACCAATTTGTGTAAAACTATTATACTATCTTGTAAGCTTAATATAGGTACTTAGAAAGTCGCTCAGAGAATATCCGAGCATGGAGGGTATGATATTTGATAAGACAGCCTGAAGAGAGATAAATAAACTAAGGATTTTAATTGACAAAATTGTCGAATACAGTCATTTCAGGAAAAGTTCCAAGGAAAACAATCAACAACTTTTTGGTAAATGTCAAATAGATTATTAGCTGGTTTCCAATTACCGAAGTAACATATCTTATGTTACAGGCAATCTAGTGAATTAGTTACTGATGGTCCACTTACTCTGTCGATTCAGAGAGGAACTGGTTTATGTCGTTTATGATTTCCCGCTTTAAAATGCTGCTGGACTCTGTAGCCATCGTCTAATTCGTGACATTCTTCATTCAGCAGTAATCATTGTGCAAACCCAGCGGTTTGAACCACGTCTTGGCTTTACCCTCGCGACCTACAAATTTCTAAATAATGACTTAGGGCTTTCCTAGCCATTGACGCAAACAATGACCCATAAGTGGCAGATGAATACGCCGGTGCCGTTCCGAGAAATATTTTCAATGTCACTGTCTAATTTGTAAAGCTATTCATAAGATTAGCGCCCGTTGAGAGTTCACGCTGAGGGGACACTTTAAAAGGTAATTTTAAATCAGTTTATGTATCTTGGCACTATTGACGAGGCGCGCGGAGGACAATGCCGATCTGAACCTTTTGGATTTTTGTTTGAAAAAGATTTATAGAAGAGCGTGCGACTCGGATTTATAAAGAAAAGGCAGTTTTTAGTTTAAAATATTGTTTCGTGCCGCTTTTGTGTGGGAAAGAAAGGTATTTGGCCTGACTGACACTTACCAGGACTAGTTGACCAATTATGCTTGTGGCGTTTTCACAAACAAACTGTGAAAGTTACTTACTTTAACCGGCTGCTCATCTCAGTGACCCCATTTTAAAGTCTTCCTCTGGGCTTAACTTCTTAAAAGGTGTCCTAAGAACAGTTTGGATGCGTTGCGTGTTGCTCCCCTATTGTTGGTTTTTAGATACCATCCAGGTGACCTCGTTTAGCTCATAAGTTGGACTAAACTTGAAACTGTGGAATCAACTTGATTCCTCTTCACATTGCTACCACTCTTTTATGCATTTTATGCAGAAGACAATACTAATTATCAGTTACGTCTGCTACCATTTCTAATTAAGTTCGTATTGTTTTGCGCTCGTCTGTAAAATGCCTAATTACACACCGATCTAGCGTGCGGGAAGCGTCACTTAACTAGGTCAGTTTCGTTTCCCACGGATCCGAGCCACTTCGTACATTTCTGGGATTTTAACGCACGGGTTTGGGAGTAATCGGATGTTTTCGGAGATTTTACCGCACGGTTTGAATTTTGACGTTTGTCAATTCTAACGGTCATATTCGTGTTGTTTAGCAAAAATGTACCCAAAATATTACTTGCTAAAAGCTACAATTAAAATCTACTGGACTAGTCGGTAAGTAAAGTGGCATTTATAATTTAAGTTTCCCACAGAAATTTGATATACCGTTCGCATGAACTTTAGTGGTTTTTACAGTTACAACAAAACAAAATTGAAGATTAAGACCTGATTTTTCTTACTTAAACGATCTTAAAAATTTAATCTTCTTAAAAGTTCTATTCCTGGATGATTTTTCTTCCAATTAAGGTCTTTTTCTTTAAATAAACTACTTAATGATCAATTGTAAAAGTTATATAAGCAACATAAAATTGTTTTTATTCCGTTGTTTATACGACATACCCAATAATACATCTCTCTCTATCCAACGCACACAGTTAAAAAGAGACAACAATGGCAGGAGCGATCGGAACGATAAACGAAGAGGTTTAATGAATTCTAGTAAATATTTTGTTTGAATGGTACGAAATTTAGTAAACCGATAAGCTGTTGTTTTTAATTTGTTAAATTGTGTGTTTTTCGTGACGGTTGTAGAAAAAGTATAGTATGCAACACGTTTGGTAAACTTTTTAACTCACTCGTTTATTAAGCACTCGCTCCGCTCGTGCCAAATAAACTTGTGACTCAAATGCCGTTTACCGGACTTGTTGCATATTTTCTGTCAAGTTATAGATTAGAACCAATTGATATTATTTCCTTTTCCATCTGTAAAAATTTTGGATGAATATTTGTTATTTCGTTAGTTTAATATTCAGTGGATTGATATGTTGGATATTTTTAAAACATTATAAACATCACCTTGTCGATAGTAAACAACTTAGGTAATCTCAGAGTAACTAAAACTTGTTTTAGTAAACAAAATTTGTTTCCGATCTAAAAATCGCATTTTGTACTGGAACCGGGATAAATTTTGTCGGTATATCGTCATTTTAAACTTTTCGTAAAAATACTATATTAGCGTATACACGGTATTTCAAAAAACAAGCGTCAATGCTCAACTCGAGCCGTAAGTCTGGAAATAATCAGTTTGCCCGATTTTGTGGAAATTTGTATAATTTATAGAAATAAAGGGTTAATTTTGCTTTAACTAGAATCAAATTTTTACTTACTTAAAATAATCCACTAAAAGCACAACTTTTTTTACTCTTCAGTTGGCTACGGATGTTGCTGAGCTTTCGAAGGAAAAAATTAAAACCATAAAAATAGACAAGACGTATTTTTATGTATTTTTTGGATTATTTGATCATATTAATCACTAAAAATCACTACCCCGCCAATCAGTTTCATTGCAGGCAAACAGGATACCACGATTTTTTCTGGTTATCCCCAGGATTATCTTCTTTACTTGAGAGAACAAGAAAGGGTCTGAACTAAATCAGAGAAAAGTTTTGGTCTGTTGCCTCTGACTTCTAAGTACTAGGCGCACTCTATTGTAAAACGTAGGTAGCGTGCATATTTTGATAGGTACTGGATTTTTAGAAATTCTTTAAATTTCATTGTATGTTTCTATTTGTTTTCAGCGAATTGTAAAGTGATAAATTAGAAAAAAAGTAACTTAAGAGTTATTTTTTTACTTAAAAGCATAAATTAATAACGCCACAGTATATGGTCACATTTGTTTTATCAAACAATATATATTTTTAAATTGTCATTCTGTTAAACTTGCAATCTGATCGCTGTTGTTAATGATATAAAAAAAAACAGCACTGATATATTAAATTAATTTTATTTTTAAGTTACAAGATAAATAAGCTTTAAATACTATATTTACAAATTTAACGCTTTGGATTTTTGATGAAAATAGATATATTTAAAATATGTACAATTATATACAGCAATTTTTTAGAAACTATATTTAATAATAATTAGGAATCATTTAAACACCATGGAGCAAACTGCTCCTAAATACGCAACGTCTATTTTTTGTGCTCTCCGCATCCATAAAAACAATTTATATCGATCTACACATTAATATCGTTGTGGCAATAAATCATTTCAACGCTGATTCGGGATGTCTAAAATTCGCTATAAATCACAACCTTTTTTTCAATCAACGTCACCTTCGAAACTTACAAAGTAAATCAACCCGTTTACGGAAAAAAACTAAACTTTTTCGAACAATTACAATACAATTGCCCGAAGAAGCTCGAAACGTTGCAGTAAAAACTGAACGGATAAATATTTACAGCGCCTGTACACACACCCTCATTTTCTACGTTATATTTTTAAGCTCGCGTTTAAGCAATATTTTGAATGACACAGATAACGGCATGATTAAATTCGTTATAAATATTCAGTCCTTTGATAAATTAACAATTATTATTAACTATGGCCTAAGTATTTAGAATTATTCACAAAAATATCACAATCTCGGCTGGAGGAACTGGACAGTCCCGAAAATGTCCTATAACTACCACTATCGCGCAAAAACAAAACCGAATCGAAATGTTGTTTCTCTGGCAATCTTAGATCACCGGCCAGTTTTCCTAAGCCAAATTCTGAACCTCAGTATACCACGGTCGGTCTTACTTCGTGTCTCTTAATACTGCTGTTGGAACGGTGTATCCTTCTGCTATATCTCGGCATACTGAAAATAAAAAAAAATTGTAATAATGTTTTTCATCAGAGAGGCTACTGTAATACTTTTTACAAAACATCTGTTTTCCCCCTGCGTCGGTTTTTGCTGTTGGCTTCTTTAGAGCTGTCAGTTTCAGTCAAGCTCTAAAGAAGCCAACAGGATGACTGGAGAAACGTCAGCAAGTTCGACTCAGCAAAAACCGACGCAGGAGGAGGAGATAAATAAGAACTAAAAGTTCAGATTTTCATGAAATTATATATTTTGACATGACAATTGTTTCGATAACACCGTGTCTTTATCAAATGTAATATTTACAAACTACCTGCCACTATATATACCGAAAAATGAACATAAAACCTTAATTAATGTTGTTGCGAGAATTTAAGTTCAATAAAGAGAGGTATTTAAATCTAATTGATGGTTAATCAATACATTTGAATATCTTATTTTGTTAATCTCCATGGCTTCCAATAAATTTAATTTTCTACTTTTTTATCAAAATTTTCGTCAAAAATGTGTTTTTCTGTGTTTAAGTGTGTAGCATAATTAGAATCTAGACTATTGTTTTTAAACGCTCTTTTATGTTCGGTAATGCGTTTCTTGAAGGATCTACCTGTTTGTCCAATATAAATTTTAGGATAAGATCCACATTTCAACCTGTAGACACCTGATTTTTGGGATTTTGGACATTTCGTTTTATTGTTTTTTAAATATTTTCATATTGTGTTGTTAGTTCTGAAACTACTTTTAAGCCACATTTTGACAAATGTTTTGAAACTTCTGTTCGTGTTCTGTATTAGGTTTAGGATAAATAGAGTTTACTGTTGTCTGTATTTGTTTATTATTTATAATTTTATCTATAATGGACGGATTGTAACTGTTGTTCAGTGCAATTTGTTTAATGATATTAAGTTCATTGTTGTAATTTTCTGTTGAGAGTGGCGTATCAAGAAGTCTGTGTATAAAAGGGTTAACTGCAACCATTTTGTGTGTATAAGGGTGATTTGAGCTGTTATGTATGACTGTGTCCGTGTGTGAAGGTTTATGATATATTGAAAAATCTAATTTGTTTTGCGCTCTCGTAATAGTTAAGTCTAAAAAATTAATAGAGTTATCCTGTTCAATCTCGATAGTGAATTTCATACGATTATGTATTGAGTTAATGTAATTTAAAGAAGAATTCAATTGCCTGTCCGTTCCAACAAAGCAAGCAAAGACATCATCGACATATCTATACCACCATAAAAAAAATCCAGTTTGGTAAAAAGGAAGTGTGTGTATATTTTCAAAATTGCATTGCACAGGGTGGGAACACTTGGTTGTTTCTATTATTAAATACTGCAATGGTAGGATCTTGCTATGGAGAAATGGATGATAATTCCCGTTTCTTCTTGGAAATCAGGACCAATATCTCGATTAAAAAATTAAGTTTTTTACCATTCCGATTAATGTCGATTACTTTCTTATTTTAGAAATGACAAAAAGAGTATTTAGACATTCTGTACTTTTCGATCCAAGTTTACACGTGGCAAATATCACGAAGCCTACAACCAATACATGAAAATAGGTGCAGAGAACAAACGTTTTCCAAATAATAATACAAATTTATATTTTAGTGCAAACGTAGTCAGATTTGACAAATGGAAAAAGAGAATTGAAAGGAAGAGTGAACAAATTATTGGGGAACTTTTCTGAGTAGAAATAAATAGTTTTAACGGATTTTGAATATCATTTTTGTTTTCAAAATCACGTTACACATAGAATGATATTTTCCTTTTTCGTAGATTATGTTATTTTAACTATTCCTTCACTAGACCCGAACACCATTCAAAATAATGAGCGAAATATTTGGTTTATAGTGGTTATCATTATTTCAAAAGACTATAAAAAAATAATAAAAAAAATTGGTTGGTGTAGAGTATTTAGAGAAAGGCAAAAATAAAATTTGTAGAAAAAACAAAAAAGTATTAGAATCCAAACAATTTCTGATATGCCTGGCTGTTGCAACACTACATCACTGCACTAACAAAGTTTTGTGTGGTGATTAATTTGTTGAAAACAAATTTTTATAATTTTTGTCTGTACGAGTAGTTAAAATCACTTTCTGAATTCTTACTACTTTACATAAAGCTTTCTAAGCTGTTATGAAACCCATCAGACACCAAATATTTCATTTTCCATGATTTTACGATCTCAGTAGACCTAAACTGCGCACGGGGAAATGTTTAATATTTATCAAGAAAATATCACAATTAATTATGTTAGCAGAGCGAAATGTAATACAAGTACAACCCAAGAAGCCGGCGACGCATTTCGAAAAATTTAATTAATAAACAATTCGGAATTCAAATAACTTTTAAGAACGCAAACTCTTAGTGTGTATTCTGCAAACAAGAGCAAAGATTGTAGTCTGTTAGAGACATTTAATTACTAAAATACAAACCGCCAAGCGAGAAGCGGGACCTGGAATGTTAAATCAAACTTAAAATTATAAAGTCACTGCACTGCAAAATCGAAATACAATTCCAAAGTTGGTGAATTTAATCCTCTTAACAAGTGCGTGTTCTTCAAATAAATATATTTTTTCTCAGATTCGCTAGATGTCAGTTTCGAACAAGCATCCATTGCGGACATAAAACTAGCTCTAAACTCCAGCTGAATCAAGTTCATGTTTCGGAAGTCTGAATTTCATACGAAATTTGTAAACTGCCAAATTTAAACTCGTTCCGCTAGCAAAGGTTCGAATTATTAATTTTGGTAATAATAATTAAATATAATTTAATAATGTTAAGGCTAACATTATTATTAAATAACATAAATAATAATATTTTTAAAAATATTCCATGATTTTTTTTCTGTAGGTTTGTTAATCACTCTAATAAAAAACTTAATTAATTGAACTTTTTAAACAGTTATCGAAAGAACTTTATCTGATCTACAAATCTTCGACGTGATCGTCAGAATTTAAACGTCTGAATTTTGAATATAAGGACCTTGTACGTAAACCTGTTTCTTGTATTTCTCTGACTTATAGAGTTGGCAATAAAATGCACTGCTGAGAAATACTCGGTATAATTAATTTTCTAATTTCAGAAGCGGTAACGTCCAGTTCGTCCAACATTTGCAGGATTTTGCAGTATCATCTAATTTCCTACTATAAATGCTCATGAACGGTAATTTCAAATTTGTTATTAAAATTATGGCTGTGTAATATTTTACTTCGGTCATCGCCCTATTGGTCAATCGTTAATTGCTGTAGTCCGTTACAGCAACGGATCGAATCAACGTAAACACAGAGAACCGGGGTTGAAATGACGTTTTCAATTTGTTTCCTTTCGCAATTGTCAGTGCCGACGCTGATCCCCGCGACAGACGGACTTTCGGGTGGCGTGAAAAAAATTATACGGTTTTAATTAAATTTGTCACAGACAAGCTGGACGCTCACCGCCCCTTTATTTTCCGAAGCCGTTTCGCCTTTGTGTTGGTATAATTGTCGGTCAGAGGGGTCCCGACCGATCTTCGGGATAACGATAGTACGTACGGTTCGACAAAATGGCGACAAAATCCCCTCCGACATTGGATTAATGGTGCGTTTAAAAAAAAAAATAGCAACTAATAACAATTTACCGTTTTCAAGAAATTGATTCTGAGATTAGTGGATTGAAAGCTATTTATAGCATTTGAATTTCTTTTTCAGCAGTATGTTGGAGCTTTAGTACAAGCCCATAGGGATAATAGTAAGCCGGATGAAAAGCCACTGACAAAGAAACATCTAAACCTAATGGAAGTGGAAGAACACAGTGAAAGCAGATTCTGCAAAGACGCCACACTATTGTGTCCAATCAGAGAGACGAAACTAAATATATAGAAGCTAATAGCTAAAGCTTCCAAACTGCAATCTGCAATCTGTTGAATACAAGTTCGTCATTATAATCGACATCGACAACAGGAAACTTAATAAATATCACCCAATAATTCACAAGTGACATTTTCAATTTGCTACCATTATTCATCAAACTCTGAGATATTTTATTTGGGTTCAATGATTTTAATACTTTAAATACCTGGCACGTGACACCTTCAATTTCCTTCATTAACTGCAGACCACTTGATCCAACCAAAGTCATTTTGTTTTGACTTTTGTTTACAAACCATTTTTTCCACTCCCGTCTGTAAAATACCTAATTACGCACCGATCTAGCATGCGGGAAGAGCGTCAGTTTCGTTTCCCACGAATTCCAACCACTTCGGACACTTCCGGGATTTTACCGCACGGATTTGGGAGCAATCGGATGTTTTCGGCGATATTTCCCACGCTTTAAATTTGGACGTTTGTCAACTCTGACAGTCATGTCAGTCAATGTATTCGTGTTTTGCGAAAATGTACGCAAAAACTAACCGTCGTAGAAAAAGTACAGTATGCAACACGTTCGGTAAACTTTTTAACTCACTCGTTTATTAAACACTCGCTCCGCTCGTGTCAAATAAACTCGTGCGTCAAATGCTGTTTACCGCACTTGTGGCATAATATACTATTACAGTTACTCCAAAAATAGATTCTTATGATTCTGAGAACTACAAGTTTTCTTTTTACAATTGTATCAATCCTACACGTGCCACTGCAAATCAAATGCCGTTTACCGCACTTGTTGCATAATATACTATTTTAGTTACTTTTAAGGAAGGCGACTTCACGGGGTCTATAGGTATGCGTATGGTCCAAGTTTATAATTAAGACATTTTCCTACGAATGTTGGTTTATAATTATCGTTTCATAATGAGTAGCATTCAAGTTATTGGTTTCTTTCTCAGTCTACTATTCATATCAAATGCAAAAAAGGGAACTTCAAAAAAATGCATATTCTCCAGCATGGAGCAGCTGTTCGCACTAGTGGCTTTTGATTAAAATAATTAATAACGCCACAAGTGGACAATATAATTAGTGTTGAATAAAGGCCCAGTATTTTAATAAATTTGAAGTTATCTCCCCAGGTGATTGTTTAAAAAGC